TTATTACCATTATTTGTTCCCAAATTCTCAATTCTTAATAATCTGCATAGATTCATATCAATAATCATTGCAGAGGAACCGAATGACTTGGGAAATCAGTCATTCATCATCAGCATTAGTGAGTCAAACTGACAGTATCCCTCCTCCATTCATCAAAGTCAGTTTTGACTCCAAAGCAATGAAGAAGGAAAATAACCCAGCACTGAATTCTCTGGAAATAAGAAGGGGTATGTATGAATCCGAGTAACCATTTTTAAAATTTTTATAGTCTCTTGCTGAGAGTTTCTGTCTTAGTCTAAACAGGAATGCATTATGTTTATTTTTTCTGACTCAATACATTTTCATATTAAAAGCTGCACTCTCAGATGAGTACAGAATTCCTTATAATTTCATTTCTTTTTTTTATAAGCAATACAGGGGTTTGAATTCAGGGCCTCATGCTATTACCAGGCCAGCACTCTACACTGGAGAACTCCCCCAGCTCTGGAATTCCTTATAATTTCCTTTTGTCCTGCTGTATAAAATTATGGCACAAACTTTCCTGCTTACTCACTGCAACTCAGGCAGTGTGAGGACTCTGTTTCAACTATTTGATCTGAGCTCAAGTTATCTCTTACTAATTTCCTCTATCAATACTGGACACATTTATTGATATTACCATATGGAAGGCACTGTACCAAAACTATATTGAATGTACAATTTAATGTGGAAGAAAATATGGTATATGACACATGGTAATTAAAAGACCTTGCTGCATGTAACCATAAGAAACATACTCCTTTTTTTCCTCTCAGAAACACTCTTATTAACTGAGTTTTCATTATTAAAGATTTTAATAATTCTATTTATACAGCAACAGTGAAGACAAAAAACTAAAGGAAGCTTATAAGTTAAAAACTGTGGTTCTAACTAATGTTCTTTTCTGTAATAGTCATAGCATTTGTTACTTGGGTTATACAAGAAAATTTCTCCATTGTTCACTTTGTGAAGCTGGATACTAGTGGCTCACACTTGAAATCCAAGCTACTCAGGAGGCAGAGTTGAGGAGGATCAAGGTTGAAGCCAGTCCTAGTAAATAGTCCCCGTAACCCTAACTCGAAAAATTCCTTTACAAAAAAGGGCTGTTGTAGTCTCAAGGTGTAGGCCCTGAGATCAATTCTCAGTACTGCAAAAAGAAAAACCCTTTATGAACACCTATTTGGAATAACACCATAAAAGCTGCAATTCTGTAGGACCTGCTTAATCATGATGTTGATCCCATTCTCTTGTCTGCCTTAACTGTCCAAGAGCAGGTTTCTATATTATATATTATTCAATGGTTGTATCATGAAGTTCCACAACAAAGTTTGTTTTCCCTATTAATTTGCTTTAACATCAGTCTCCAATATCAACATAACAACATCTCCCTGAATCGCTATCATTTTATATAAATACATATATATAATATATTCACTTCTATTTTTGTAGATGTCATAGTAACTTCTTGCATACGTCATCCAAGTTATTGATAGAATGCTATGTTCAAATTTTTAGTACAGGTCTAATATGAAGCCACATGGAATAATAATTTTGAAACTTTACACTTTATGACTAGTCTTTAGACATTCTGTGATTTATATAACTCTGAAATAATGTTCTCTATTTTCACCTACACCTCATGACTATGTGATGTTCATAAGATGACTATGAGATTCAGCCCATGCATTACTAAAGTCAAGATAACTCAGGGTTATCACATTATTTTTATTCTATTAATCTAATAAAAACCCAATAAAACAAAAATTCTGGGAGTACATTAGCAATATGGTGATGATTCTGAGTCATTACTGCTTCTTTTTATAAGATCTTAAATTTTTTTGCTTTCAAAAGGAAACTTTGGGTTTGGAGAGACATGGATGAACCTGAAGAATTCCATGCTAAGTTAAATAAGCCTATCACAAGTGGAAAAAGAGTGCATGAGTTACCTACATGAAGTATCTATAACACTAAAACTCAGAGACAGAGAAAACAGTAATGGCCACTGGCAGTTGGGAGGTGGAGGAAACAGGGAGTAGATGTTCAATGGGTTCAGTTGTGTTAGATGAATAAGTTCTAAAGATTCTTTATGGAGTGTAGTGCTGATTGTTAATAATATATTATTGTACACTTCAAAATTTAAGATAGTAGGCATTATATTATTCTTATAACTAAAACAAAACCAAATCAAGAAAAAACCCCAAAGTGTACAATGAAACTTTGGGATGTGATAATAAATCAATTATCTTGATGCTGCTGCTGTTATCATGAGTGTTTACATATATCTAAATTGATCAAAGTAATACATTAAATGTGCAGTTCTTTGCATACATATTGCACATAAATTACCTGTTAAGATATAAGCAAATAAAGCATTACAAACTTTTAAGTGTTTTGATATTTGGTGTATGAATTTATTCATCTCTCAGATGCATAGGACAAAGAGAAGCTAAGGAAATTGTTGCAGGGCAGGTTATTTGGGAATTCTCCACCAAGGTCAAAGACTTACAAACACAAGTAGTAAGCAGAGCAGAAGAGTAAAGAGTAGAAATTAAGAGCATGTGTCAGAACCAGCTTTTAGAGGAAGTTGTGCACATGAAATGAGTCATACAAACATGAGGAAATCTGTGATAGGGATTTGTATTTAATGGGACAATAAGAAGCAAGGAACACAGGAAAAAACAATCACCTGGGCAATAAAAGAGTAAGAAATGTGGAAGGATAAGTGTCATAGTTTGTTTTATGCTGTTGTTATAGGATCTCACATTGTACATAATGTGTGACGAACAGAAATTTGACTCAAAGTTCTAGAGGTTTAGAAGATCAAATAGGTTTAGAAGATACAAGGATGCATTGGCAAGGGAATGTGTGCTCCCTAGTGTCACGGTGATTGACTGAAGTACAAAAGTATATATACGTAACATAGACAGTGGAAGCCCAATTTACTCTCACATTTAGCCACCAAAGCTTTGAAAACAATCTGTACAATTTGTCCATGTTCCATTCTTGTCTTAAAGGTCTCACTTCTCAGTACTGTTACACTGGTGATTAAGTTACCAAAAAATAAAATTTGGAAATCTATTCAATCCATATCAATATAGACACTCAGTTTCTTAAATATTACAGGAGATATTAAAATAAATAACTAGGATTTTATAAAGATTAGATTGCAAAGTATCTTCTGGTGTTACAAATCAGCAAGAGTTTGGCTTGTTCATGAGTCAAATATTTCATCCTCTAGCCATTCTTAAATTCTTGGAGTAAAGTATAGATTTGGCCCAGGATAGGGTTGGTTGTCCTCTACAGGAGTTGGCCCACTGGAGAGTCAGAAGAAAGAAGGGATTAGGCAATAATGTAGTGCGTGCATAACATAAATCCTCTAGGGATTTGTTTTCAAAATCTCTTCAACTACATGGTGCTTTCAATCCTTCATGATTATTTTTAGTTTTTAGTTTCTGCCCCTGTTGATTTATTTTTCATGGCAAATGACACAGAAGAAACATTTTTAAAGTGAGTATATGATTCATTTGTCTTTAACATCTTAAGAGTTAATATTAATAAGGCTTATATTTTTTCTTGTTTGTGTAGTAGAGAGAAGAAGCCCATGGTGGAAAATGTTACTCACATTTTTTGAGTCAACATGTATAATTTTCTTGTGGTTGAGAAGGCAGTGCCACCTTGTTTGGAGAAAAATTTAATGCATCTATTCTCCATAAATATAGAGATACTCACTAGCATACTCTAGATGGGAAGGCTTCCTGGAGTGTGGCAAAGTACAAAGTTGTGATAGAAGTATTTTGTGTGGTCAGCATGGTGTCATTTTTTTTTTGGTTTTTATTTTTATGAAAACATTTGTGGAAAAGAAACTGATATATTTCCAAGTTTTTAATTCATTGAATTTTTGGAGTTGCACAACTATCCTCATGTTCTACTTGTACAATATTTTCAAAGACAATATACATGAGTAGTCAGATCCTAGCATCTCCATTCTCACCGCTGCTGACTGACACCAAGCTACTTTCTGTTGCTATGAATTTGTCTACCAGGGACACCTCATATATATCAGGTCATACAGTCATGTGGCCTGTTGTGACTAGTTTCTTTGACTTCGCATGTTTCAGGTTCATTCAAAATGTAGCAAATCTCAAGTTCAAGCTTTCTATTGCAGAATAATGCTGCATTACACAGATACACTAAACCTTGCTTGTCCACACACAACTGAATGACATTTGGGTAGTAAACTGTTTTTCCATGTTCTTTATCCATTTTCCATCCCAGCAATAATCACTGAGGGTTCTTTTTCTTTTTTACCTTCATATCTACACTTATGTTTATCTTTTTCATAAGAATCTTCCTGAGAAATTTGAATTGTTATCACTGCATAACATATAATAATCAGAAATTTACTTGGCTGCAATTTTCATTGGAATTTCTGTAACAAATCATGATGATTTGCATATTTTCAGGTGCTTCTTGATAATTTGTTTATTTTTAGTAGAATAATGTTTACTCAGACACTCAAAGATTTTTTAAATTGAAATGTCTTTTTTAATGTTTTTGTAGCTAGAGTTCTTTAGATAGTCTGAGTACAAGTTAATCCTCAGAAACATTGCTTCTAAATATTTTTCCCATTTTGTGTTTTCTTTTCACCTTTTGGATGTGCTCCTGAAAGCATAGAATTTTAAAAATTTTCATGACATCCAATTTATTATTTTTGTCACCAAGAGCCTCTGATTTGGCCATCTTATCAACAGAGCATAATCAAATCCAAACAGAGAGATTTAAGCTTCTAAAAAATTTTTGTAGTGTTTACTCTTGCATTGTGGTCCATTTGAGTTAAATTTTTTGGTTTATATGAGATTGAAGTCCTAATTAACTCTTTTAGATATAGCTACTTAAATTTTTGATCATCCTTCATTGAAAAAATTATTTCCCCTTTTTAATTGTCATGAAAATTCTGTTCATGATACATGTTCATTTATTCAGGATTCAGTTCTATTCCCTTGATCTGAATGTCTGTACTTTGGACAGTACAAACTGTTGACTAACAAGAGTGTAGAATGTTTTCAATTGGAGAAATGTTAGACCTCCACTTTGCTCTTCTCTTTCAAATTTTCTTTGGTTATTTTTAGTTGTTGCATCTCAAAGGATTATATGATCAGCCTGTCAATGTATGCAAATAGAAGATATGAATGCTTGATAGGGAATATACTGAATTTGTCACTATACTTGGGAAATATTGTCATTTTTATAATGTTGACTCTTGATTCATGAGCATGGATGTCTTTCCATTTATATTAGTTTGTAACTACATTCAACAATGTTTTGTAGTTTTCTATGCAGTGTCTTTAATTTATTTTATTTATTCAATTTTTAAGTAATTTATTTGTTTCATGATATTGCAAATGAATGTTTTGTTGTTGATAGCAGGTGTGCAGAAATAAAATTAAGTTTTCCTATAAATCTTGTCTTCTATCACTTTGGTTAATTTTAAATTAGCTCTAATATTTCTTTTTTATTGTTTCCTTAGGATTTCTATAACCAAATGTATGTTATTTACACATAGATAATTTTCCTTCCAATCTGGTCATCTTTAATTTAATTTTTCTTTTGATTGTCCTACCTAAAATTCTAACAAGTTGAATTAAAGTGCAGGGAGGGGACCTCTCTTCCACTGAAAGACTTGGGTGGAAAGTCTTTAGTCCCCCACTATTAAGTTTCAAACTGACTTTGGGTATTTTGTGAATGTTATTTTATCACAAAAATCATTTTCTTTGTAGAGGAGAACATATTACAAATAAGGCATAGAGAATGCTTTACACTCATCAAGTATTAGAATATTCTTTGGATTAAATGGAATGGATACTATTAACAACCACTCTTATACCATAGGACATAAAAAGGGATAACTTTATTTGATAGTTTTTACATTTCCCAGATTGGCTGGATCCGAAAGTATTTGACTATTAATATAAAAGAACAAATTGCAGAAAACTGGAAATGACTGGCTGGAAAGATTTAAATTCTGTTTTGTATTTCATTTCATAATAAGACAATCAAAAGTTAACTCAAAATTTTTTTCTTTTCCTACATAAAATTCTCAGAGGAAAATGGCAGAAAGAAATCACTCCACAGTGACTGAATTTATTCTCGCTGGGTTAACAGATAAACCAGAGCTCCAGCTGCCCCTCTTCCTCTTCTTCCTAGGAATCTATGTGCTCACAGTGTGGGGGAACCTGGGCATGATCTTCCTGATCGGGCTTAGTTCCCACCTGCACACCCCTATGTACTTATTCCTTGCCAGTCTGTCCTTCATTGACTTGTGCCAGTCCACTGTCATTACCCCCAAAATGCTGGTGAACTTTGTGGCAGAGAAGAACATCATCTCCTACCCTGAATGCTTGACTCAGCTGTATTTCTTGTGTGTTTTTGCTATTGCAGAGTGTTATATGCTAGCTTCAATGGCCTATGACCGCTATGTTGCTATCTGTAATCCTTTGCTTTACACTGTTACCATGTCCTATGAAGTCTGTTCCTGGATGGTAGTTGGGGTGTATGGCATGGGTTTTGTTGGTGCCACAGCCCATACAGTGTGTATGCTAAGACTGATTTTCTGTAACAATGATGTAGTAAACCATTATTTTTGTGATCTTTTTCCATTACTGGAGCTCTCCTGCTCTAGTACTTGTATCAATGAGGTGGTAATTCTGTGCTTCAGTGCATTTAATATTGTTGTCCCAACCCTGATCATCCTTGGCTCTTACATCTTCATCATTGTCAACATCCTTCAAATTCCCTCCACTGAGGGCAGGTCCAAAGCCTTCAGTACTTGCAGCTCTCACTTCTCTGCTGTTTCTGTCTTCTTTGGAACTCTAGCATTCATGTACCTGCAGCCATCTTCAGTCCACTCCAGGGATCAAGGGAAAGTGTCCTCTGTGTTTTATACCATTGTTATACCAATGCTGAATCCCTTGATTTACAGCCTGCGGAATAAGGATGTCAAAGTGGCCCTAACTAAGTCTCTTAAAAAAAGATGTTTTCTATGAGAAAGAGTATTTTGTTTTAGAAAAAGAATGATAATTTATGGAGGATTGGTGGTGAGAAAGGATTAAGATACCAGTGGATTCATATCAGTCATGAGATTACTGCTCGTACTTGATTTTGTGGAACAATGGTTCCAAGGGATTCACAAGCTCAGATATTTGGAGGATTGCATCTATGAGTCCATCCACCCACAGTCAGCTGCATCACCACTAAATAATTTTGAAAAAATTTATTATACTATAGGTTATGTTTATGTATTTGAACATGGCTTTTTAAATTCATTGTTCATTTACATTAAATCTGGGAATAAATACATGTGATCAACGTCCTTTGATAGTCTCAATATTTTGTTACCTTGCTTTTCAAGCTAACTGTGCTGGCAAACAACTCTAAAATATGATGCCTAAGTAAATAATCTAACCATTTGGAATACATAAAATATAACCCTGATTCTTACTAAGCATGTAGAACTACATTAGACAATAAGGAAAGATGTGGCTTGTTGCAAGAGTGCCCACACACAAGGAGAAAATAGTATATTGAAAGAGAAGGATAATAGTAAACAGGACTGAATATTACACATTTTTATGTACTTTCTTTCTTGACATTGTATACTTGTTCTCTTTATCAACAAAAAGATCATGTTTTCTTCCCACCCACTTCTCTTAGTATTGCACTTATATGAGTCAATTATTCACATTGAAAATTTTAAATTTTCAGGCTTCTTACTAATGACAGGGCATCCTTGTACCCATAAATTCAATACGCATTTTGGAGATAAGGTTATAGTGGAAGGTCATTTTCATTTTGTGCTGAACCAGCATCTTATTACCTATATCAGCATGCAAAATCATCATACCAATCAATGTTTACAGAAGGACAAATTGTTTTGGGCATCATCTTCATCAGAAACCAGAACTGGTGACTCAGACTCTACTTGGGAGGATTCTACTGTCAAAGTAATGTTTCTCTTCAGAAGAATATGTAAGAAGAAACCCCAACAATAAGATCTCTAGGAATAAGGAGAGTATTTCTGAATTCCAAACCTTGACATTTAAAATCTTAGAATCTCCTGCTGCAGTTTCTCTCCCAGTCCAAACAGAGATGAATATCGCTCTTTATATGTCTCCAATCATCCTCATCCTAAGAGTAATATTCCCTGGTGAGCATGGACTCCCTCATCATCTCCTTGTCCCCTACAGTACAAAACCAAGGCAAACAATTTTTTGTTTACCTTTTTCAACTGAGATTGTGTAAGAGATGTGTTCATTTATTTTGAGTCTGTTAGCTCTAAGATTCTTTTGGCAATTTTATTGAACAAATTGTTTTTGACACTTGGCATATGCAAGCACTATGCAAAGTGCTATATTGAATTTAGAATCAGTGTAAAATACAAGCATCTAAGTGACTCACAATAACTGGTACAGAATTAAGAATTTGCTCTATGTGGAGCTGGTGGAGTGGCTCAAGTGGTAGAGTACCTGCCTTGCAAATGTGAGGCCCAGAGTTTAACCACTAGTACTGACAATAAATAAATAAATAAATAACTTGCTCCATAAGAAACATATCCATAGGCCAATAAAAAATGGTTTTACCAACTAGAATTTCTAATACTAAGGATCTTTACTGCTGGAATGCTCAAGTCTGTTATCCCAGCTACATGGAAGGTAGAAATCAAGAGGATTGCAGTTCAATGCCAGCCCTGAAAAAATTTAGTGAGATTTCCATCTCAACTGATAGGGTGGGTAAGAGTGGCACATGACTGTTATCCTAGCTACATAGGAGGTAAAGTAGAAGAATAACTGTCCAAGCTGGCCCCAGCAAAAAAATGCAAGACGTTATTTGAAAAATAACCAAAGAAAAATGGTTGGGTCTATGGCTCAAATAGTAGATCACCTGCCTAAAAAGTGTCAGGCCCTGAGTTCAAACTCAGATCTTTGCTAAAGGACTTTCACAATTAGATAGGATTTCATAGAATAAAGATACTAGAAGGAAGGAATAGAAATGATGAATTAAACACTAATGAAAAATTGTGAGTTAGAACTTAGGGCCTATCAGACATCCTTTTGTGTAATAGTCATGTCATAAGATACATTTTAAGATCTCAAAGAAAAAGAAGTTTTTTCCTTTGGTAGCCAACTTTTATCAATCTCAGTATGACAGATATTACTTTGAACTTTGAGACAATGGAAAATATTGACAATATAAGACACCAATACTCTGTTCAAATAGTAAGTGCTGCATTGTTTAATCTATCAATCTAAGAGGAAACAATAATTCTGCTGTGCTGGGTGAAAAACAAATGAAACAGAAACAAATAAAAAAATTCTCCACCTATCAATATGTTGGTAAATGAGATATGTTTTAGATAGAAGCTCAATAGATCACAATGTTAAACAATGACATTAATGACGTTTTTCTTGAGATCCAATATTATGAAACTACATTCATGAATAAAATCAATGCTGCATTGTCATATAGAAACAAGTTTGTCTAGATATTGAATACATTAGGTTTATTTTTTTAGGTTTTGGAAAATTCATGATGCTTTACTATATAGTACTTTTCCAAAATACCCCATGCAGTACACTTTCCTTGAAACTATATTGAATACCTATTTCTGAAGAAATACAAAGAATAAAATCAAAAGATTTTTGAAGAATGAAGAAGCTCCAGGTTATATTTAATAATATAGTGATGATGTTTAAGATGATAGAAGTAACATATATTATTTATAATTCATGAAATATCAAGCGGTGAGCCAATTCTTAATGGATCACCTCTTTCAATATTTGATAGTCTTTCACTGTAAGCCTCAGTATTGTTTCCTATCGAATCTTATTTATTTGCACGTACACTCATACTCTTGAACATAGAAGTGATGAACCTTGAGTGCTTGGATTCAGGACCAGGGGAATTTCAGAGAAATGTAACCCATTGTGGGTTAGTGTAAGAATTCATGAGAATTCCCTCCTATGTGTCAAGCAGCCTGCTTCCCAACATGAATAATTTCCATGCTATTCTCACTTTTACTTCATTTGATACAATGAAATAGTTAAAATATTTCAAAGCCATAGTTATCAAAGAAAAACAGTGAAACAATGAATGCCATTTTACCCACCATAGCACCTTACTTTGTGATGTTCTTTTTTCCATCTGCTTTTTGCTGACTTTACAGATGAATATTATAGGTGTACATAAGTGTGTTTTATGCTTCAGCTCATACAAGTTGCATATTAGGGTTCCTTTGAGCAAATCTGATATTGTCGACCAGTATTTCTGAGATATCCCTCCCTTCCTAAAGCCCTTGTCTTCTATTACCTGTATCAATGAGTTGTTGATCCTATATTTTGGAACATTTGATATCTTTGTACCAACACTGGCCACCCCTAGTAATCTTATAAACACCATTATGAGCATCCTTCACATTCAATTAACTGAGCCTACCACTTGTATTTTTATGGATTAGCTAAAATATGTAATACTTGTTGAGGCAACAAAAATAAGGAGATAAAGTAGTTTGCTGTCAGGTTGTAACAATCTTTAAGGACATAAAATTGTGGATCATGGAGATATTGATGACTTAAAGAGATTAATATTCATTAAAATATTCAGAATTTCTTTATTTTAATGTCTATTAATGTGGAAATAAGAAACAGGGAACTTTTGTGGAAAAGAAAATGGTTGGAATATGAAAGGTAGTTCAATAAAAATAGTGAAAACACAACCATAATATGTACTACATTCTTACTAAGAGCCAGGAATTGTTCTAAGCATATTGTAGACATTATTCAATTTCATTTTCATGTGAGAAAGATTTGTAAATCTCCTTTTTTCAGAGGCTTGGAAAGTGGAAGTAATTTTCATATTTTGAGTATTATATAGAAGTAACTGTCAAATGCTATTTGTTACCTTTCTAAAAAATTATTTATTTATTAAAGCTGTTAAAAATGTAAGTGTAAAAGTGTCTGAAATGTCCTTAGTGAATCTGACAACTAGTGGGGGAAGATGCTTCCAAAATATTAGCAGAGACACCAGATAGATTCCAAAATGGAGAAGGAGCTCTAGCTCAAGAAAAAGGAGAATAAAGGACCTCGAAGAAGGAAAAATGATATATTCCTTCTGGAAGTATTTAGTCACATAGACAAGCCAGGCTATGAGAAGTGAACAGAAATGCCATGGTGACCTAATTGGAGGCATGCCAAACTGAGGATCAGGACATGTTTTATTGAGAAAGAAGGGAAGAATGAGTATCAATAATAACAGTTTCTTTGGCACATTCCAATTCCATGGTATTTTATGTGGATGCTAACATTTGGTTTTAGCATCGCATCTAAGAAGAAGAATAGTGTTAATTGTGGTTAAAATGAAATGTGCAATACATAACATATATTGTACTTTTAATAACAATTTAAGGCATACTAGAAAAAAGCAAAATGCAAGACTATAATTATCAATAATTCTGACTTCATTTGTGATGTTTCTTCATCATGAATGGCTTATTGACTCCATCCTATCTTTTCAATGTTACACAACTTATCATGATAGATACAAGTGTTCTATTCTCATTCATTTCTCATCACTTCAATGACTGATCAGGTGCACCTGTGTTTCATTACGTGTACTAGAATCATGATGTCTTCTCTGATATTTTTTACTGTTAATGAATGTTTGTGGTTATTATAAAATTGCACTTATCATATTTCTAAGATTTGATCATTATTGATAAGGATACATTTCCTAGGGTTTATGATTTATTCTCTGACTGTGATTTTCTTTAAAACTTAAGGGTTAGGCATTAGCAATTTATAAAAATACATTTATAAAACAGATTAAAGATCCATACTCCACAATAATTTAAAGCATCTTAAAATATATTCAATTGGAAAAATATATTGCAAGTTCTGTCTCACAGTTGTGTCACACTATTGATTAAAGATATTAAATATGATTTTCTTTCCAAAGCAATGATTAAGTGTGGAAATATTTTCTACCACACATA